TCCTTATTTTGGATGATATGATTTTGTATCTATAAAATCCCACAGTGTCTTCTCAAAAGCTCCCAGATCTGATAAGGAACTTCAACAAAGTTTCAGGGTACAAAATCAATGTACAAAAATCAGGAGTAGCATTTCTATACCCCAACAACCTTAAAGCTGAGAATCATATCAAAAAATACAATCACAATAGACACACAAAAAAACATAGAAATACAGTTAAGCAGGAAGGTGAAAAATGTTTATAATGAGAATTACAAAACACTGCCTGAAATAAATCAGACAAGACACAAACAAATGAAAAAACATTCCATGTGTACGGCTAAAGAAAGAATCAATATTATTAAAATGGCCATACTGTTTGAAGCAATTTACAGATTCAATGCTATCCCTATAAAATTACCAAAGATATTCTTTACAGAATTAGGAAAAACTATTCTCAAATTCATATAGAATGAAAAAAGAGTCCAAATAGCCAAAGCAATCCTAAGCAAAAAGGAAAAAGATAGAAGCAACACATTATCTGACTTCAAACTATACAAGACTACAATAACCAAAACAGCATGATATTGGTACAAAAACAACCACATAGACTAATGGACCAGAATATAGAACCCAAAAATAAAGTCACATGCCTACAACCACCTGATCTTCTACAAAGTCAAACAAACAAACAACAACAACAAAACAAACAAAAAGCAGGCAATGAGGATAACTGGCAGCCATATGCTGAATATTGAAACTGATACTTTCTTTACACTACTTACAAAAATAAACTCAAGATGGATTATAGACTTAAAAGTAAAATTCAAAACTATAAAAACTTTGGATGATAATGTAGGAAATACCATTCTGGAAATAGCCTCTGACAAGATACTAGATGCAATTGGAACAAAAACAAAAATTGACAAATGGGTTGTAAACTAAAGAACTTCTGCACAGCAAAATAAACTATCAATAGAGTAAATATACAGCCTACAGAATGGAAGAAAATATTTGCAAACTATGCATCTGACAGTGTTCTAATATGCAGCATCTATAGGGAACATAAAAAAATTAACAAGGAAAAAATAACCCCATTAAACAGTGGGCAAAGTAGATGAACAGTCGCTTTTCAAAAAACATACATGTGGTCGACAAGTATGTGAAAAAACACTTATCATCTCTAATCATTAGAAAACGCAAATCAAAAGCACAATGAGACACCATCTCGCACCAGTTGGAATGACTATTCTTAAAAAGTCCAAAAATTCCACATTCTGGTGAGGTTGCCAAGGAAAGGAAATGCTTATACACTGCGGTGAGATTGTAAATTTTATCAGCCACTGTGGGAAGCAGCTTTGCAAATTCTCCAGGAACTTGTAACTATTATCTGACCCAGCAATTTCCTTTATAGTACATATACTTAAGGGAATATAAATCATTCTACCATAAAGACACATGCACACATATGCCCATCACAGCACTATGTCATGCACAGCAAAGACACAGAATCAACCTAGATGCCCATCAATGGTAGACTAGATTTTTTTAAAAATGTGGTACGTATAAACCATGGAATACTATGCAGCCGTAAAAGAAGCTACCATGTCATTTGCAGCAATACAGATGGAGTGGGAGGCCATTATCTCAAGTGAGCTAAAGCAGGAACAGAAAATCAAATCTGCATGTTTTTACTTGTAAGTGGGAGCTAAACATTCAGTACACACGGACACAAAGAAGGAAACAATAGACACTGGGGCCTACTTGAGGGTTGAGGGTGGGAGGAAGGTGAGAATGGAAAAACTACCTATGAGGTACTATGCTTATTACCTAGGTGAGGAAATAATCTGTACACAAAGCCCCCATGACACACAATTTACCTATATAATAAACCTGTGCATGTACCCATGAAACTAAAACAAAAATTAAAAAGAAGTAATTGCTGTGATTCTGAAACATTTGCAAATGCAAACTGATGTGCAACATCTATTTCTCTATTAATCTCTTTTGCAAATAAATATTATTGTATATTTTTAAGGTTCACAAAATTATATTATGAAATACATACACAAAGTAAAAAAGTTACTGCAGTGAAGCAAAGTAATATACTCACCATCTGAATAGTTGCCCATTTGTTTTATTCATTTTTGTAGGGAAGAGCAGTTAAAGTGTACTCATTTAGCATGAATCCCAAATACACGTCTATTAATTTTATTATAAATATATAAAGCCAATTAAGAAAAACAGCTAATTAAAATAATTTAATATTATAATATGGCATATTTTCCCCAGGTTAAATTATTAAATATAAAGCACCAGAGCTAGATAAATGATTCTTAAAGAGCATTTTTATAATTTAAATTTTAAATTTCATTTAATTGCTTGTAGTATTCAACTGAGCAAATTTACTTGAAATTGCAGACTAACTGAAACACAATCTATCCAAAAAAGTCATGTAGTCAAGTCTTTAGAAGGCCATTTCCTCAAGAATTCCCTTAGTCATTAATTGCTCTTTGAGAAGAATGTATCATCACCATATAAATTATTGGTACAAACAGACAGCAGGCATCAAGGGAAGAAACGGAACTGAGAGAAAGCTATATAAAGCAGGTTTTTCACCAGTGTGGCCCCCTGAAGGATAAATCACTTTTTTATTATAAAAGATTAAACTTTAAATCCATAAATACTGTTGTACTCTGTCAACAGCTCATAGTATCACACCACATCACACATTTTACAGCTGATAAATGTACATCAAATACAGCTCAAGTTTAGTGATCATAATCTTAACTCTATCTCACTGATATTTTTCTAAAAAGTGGACAATAAACAGCAGGAAAATATCACAACTTTTATAATAAAATACAGTTTGTTTTCAAAAGACTATTAAGTATAAGATATAATTTGTTCCCCAAATATTATGATTGATTGTTGTAGTATAAAAACAGAAAAACAAGGTAGGTCAATTTTGATAAGTGAGTACAGTCTGCTTCTCAGAATTTCAGTCTTTCTCTATAAAAGAGCTCTAAAGGTCTCTTTTGTGTGATAATTAAATGAAATGAATATTCCTTTAAAAATAAAGACATTTGTCAGGCTATTACTCATTTAAAGAAATGATAAATTTTCTCAAGCATGACTTGTTATTTGAGACTGTTCCATACAACTACTATATTAACCATCGGGTGCTATCATTTTTCACATCTTCAACATTTAACATGAAAATGTAATGCTAATATGTGGGCTTGATCAGTCAAGTTAAAATTGTAATGTTCACCAAAATTGAAGAATCTAAAATAATAGTAACTGTACTAAAGATTTCCATCTATAACAAAAGTATGACCCTGAGCAATTCATAATTTTTCAGTTACCTCATCCGTAAAATAAAAGTTTTATATATTCTGTGACTTCCAAGATTAGTTCCAGCCTATGCATTCCATGATTTTAAAAATTCTAAGAGATAAAACAGTTTGCAGGTGATCTGTGATTCACGGCAGTTAAGAACAAGCAGTTTTATTGTTTGAGCATTTTCTTATACATTATGAAATTAAACTAAACACAAAAATTTGACACCATAGAATATTTTTATTTTGGTATTTATCATTCTGAATCAAGCACAGACTCTGGTAATAATCCGCATCAAACCACTTGAAGAGCCAAGACTTTATGGCCTTATATATCTTGCCAGCTTAATTTGATCAGATACTATAGAACTACATTTTTATTTAGAGGCAAGTATTAAACTGTCATTGACTTTCCCATATCCAGAGAATAAAAAAATGTTAATCCAAGAAACACCATCAAGTTATGCCATATTTAAATATATGATTTAAGAAAAGAACCTTGTATTCAAGATTATACTGGTTAATTGATCAAGTGAAAGAGGACATATTATTCCTTATACTCCAACATATTTCTACCTTATTTTACTACTATGCAAATTTTTCATGTATATTTCTAAGACTGCTCAATTTAATATTTGAGAGAACATTATTATAAAGCAAATCTAATAAAGTTTATTTTTAAAAACATATACCTATTTAACACGGCTTTCTTGCAACAGAGTCTAGGTCAAAAACAAAACAAAACACAACAACAAAACTAAACAAAATCGCATGCCCAAAATACTTCATCTGAAAGATAAATTTCATGGTTTGCTGGGCTTTATCAATTGTATCTCTGTTTGAAATAATTATACACAAAGCATCTAGTTAATTATATTTACTAAAGTTTGTTATATTAGAAGACAATTGGTAAACTAGAGCATTTATTTCTGTAATCATTACTATTAGGATAATTACATGGTCCTTGCTTCACATTCACTCTTCAGAAAGTAAATTATCAGCTTGAATCGTTGAATTTACATTTTAGCTTCCTCCATTCATTTCACCAAAAAAAATTCCTCCTTTTACCCACTGACATTTATGAATATAACTGATGAAACCATGCCACTGAATGCTATCTTTCATAATCAATGATCTACCAGTAAAAAAATAGTTTAAAGAAAGAAACAACATTAAGAACCATATCATAATTATTTTATGAATGAACCTTGAATATAGAAGACTATGGGTTGTAATCTAAGAGTCTAATAACCACCATGCGATTGTCTTACCTATATTAATAATGATTACTTGCTGATTTTCTAATGTTACATATTTAGTATCATTAACTCTACTCCCTTTTATAATAAGGATATACACTTTAACATGAACCAAACATAGTGAAATGGATGTTCATATTTGGACAAATTGATGAATCATTTATACTTTGAATAAATGAATAAAATATCTGATTTTGCCTCCTACATTCACAGAACAAAAATGCTGTAGCCTTCAGCTGAAAATTACCCTCATCATTGCCCTTTCAAAAATGTTCCTTCCCTCATGTCAATATCACGTGCTTGCATATACTTACCTAATAAAGCTTCAAATATTTATTTTATAAACGTTGACAAATAAAATATCATCTTATTTTATCATTTTTCCCTCAGTTCTATGAAAGTAAAGTATATTTGGTGGTACCTTTGGATATTGCTTGACAGGAATCAGAACTCTTTCTGAGAGCTTTATGTTTTTGTTGCTGATGACATCAAGATATTTCTTTTCTTCGTCTTCCTTTTTTCCATCAGAACCTTGAAATTTTTCAATTTCTGGAAAAAAAAATCACAAGAAGATGACAAGTGAAAAGAGGAAAAATATTATCATAAACATGCTGATTGTTCATATTACTTCTCTTCTCAAATAACATTTTGATGAATAAAAGGCCTGAAACGGCATCTCATGAACAGATATGTTAATGCTGTTACTGTATTTAAGAGAACCTCTGTCAACTCAAACTAAAAAGCAATCATTGAAAATGTCGGTGTCTTCTGTGAAACAATTGATGAATGCAATTAATTTTAACACCTTCAAATACAATAAAAAGGTAAAATACGTCCTTTGATTAAACTATTTTAGCAAACATAATTTTTTCCAGCAGCAATAAATAAACAAAATACATTTTAAGATTATATGCTTTATTTTTACTCAGAATTATTCCTAAGAAAATAAAAAAATTAAAATGGTAATTATTAAGTTAGCTAAAATAGGTAGTAAAGAAAAATTGCATGATATTTTACAAGGGTTATAGAAAAGTCATATAAAGGATGAAATCAAATCTATAAATGGTAACTTTGGTATTCATCAACATGACATTATTTATCTAGATGTTTTAAGAAAAACTTTAGAATATTACCAGATTTGACATTTTGAAGCATACTTATCCACCCCTTCATTTTTGAATTAATTTATTCCATGGAAAATGTTAAACCTCTCCTAGGCACCAGAAATACAACAGAAAAAAATAAAATATCTCTTCTTTTAGAGACTGTATATTCTAATATGGAAAATGAACAATGAGAAAAAGAATACATGGGCACAAATATGGTTATATAGACTGTATATTCTAATATGGAAAATGAACAATGAGAAAAAGAATACATGGACACAAATATGGTTATGGGTTAGAGCAAAGAATAAACACAATGTAGCTGCTAAGAATATCAAGGAGGGGGCCGAGTGCGATGGCTCAAGCCTGTAATCCCAGCACTTTGGGAGGCCGAGGCGGGTGGATCACAAGGTCAAGAGATCGAGACCATCCTACCCACATGGTGAAACCCCGTCTCTACCAAAAATACAAAAAATTAGCTGGCATGGTGGCGCATGCCTATAACCCCAGTGACTCAGGAGGCTGAGGCAGGAGAATTGCCTGATCCCAGGAGGCGGAGGTTGCAGTGAGCCGAGATTGCACCATTGCATTCCAGCCTGGGTAACAAGAGCTAAACTCCTCTCAAAAAAAAAAAAAAAAAAAAAAAGAATATCAAGGAGAGTCGGCTATTACTTCAGATTTGCAGGGTGATACTTGAGCAAAGCCCTGAATGACAGAGAAGAGTAAGCCATGAGAATACTAAGAATAGCTTAACAGTTCTATGAAAATCATGCTTTACTTGATCTTGGAATAGCAAGAAGCAAGAAAGCCTGTGTGGCTGAAGAATAGTGAATGTAGAAAAAAGACTTGCTAGGTGATTATAGAACAGATCATGTAAGAATTGTAGGATACATAATGTTTTCTGCTTTTTATTTTGACTGTAATGGTAAGCCTCTGGACCACTGAAGAACAAAGGAAGGCAGCCACATTGTATTTTTAAGGATAACATCATATGTAATATTTAAAACCAATCACAGCAGAAGGCAAGCAAACAAGGAAACCAACTTACATTTGTCTATCTGAGAAACAATACTGACAAGGTAGGAATGAGATATTAGAAGACTGTATAGCTACAGTCATCTCATGCAATGAACCATGTAAAATAAGTGTTTTGAAGAATTGTTAAAAATTCATTTTACAAATTGCCTTTATATTTTTTTACATAGTTATTATAACCATAACATAATCAGTAAATATTTCTTTTTTTTCTCTGCTCTTAGTCAATGTACTAAAATACTAACTAAATTAAGATATGAATGTGACAGTGTTTTACTTTTGTTATGGATAGAACAAAACATTCTATCTTTTGTTATTTTGGAGTAGAGAAAAGGTGATGATAGTTATTAAGTATGAACAATTTTCATATACATTTATTTATACTGCATATTAAAACAATTATTTTTTAAAGGTCTGACTACTTCCAAAGGTAAGAGGAATATGCATTTTATCTAGCAGTTTTTTTCTTTGTTATTCTATAGTTAACCTAAATTTGTCCCCCACGTTTTCAAATGACTTAAAGAAAAATCCCTAAAACATTCCAGTTAGTAATATTTTTACATACTAATTATTCGAGTTGTGTGGAATTTAAAACAATTATTTTGAAGTAATATTACATTACTTACCCAGGTAATACCTGCATGAAATCTCAACTGCATAAATTTTACAAAGTCATTTATAATCATCTTATCAGTTACATGGTACAATTTCCTTAAAGACAAGTATCTTGAACTAAACTGAACTGTTTGAAAATAAGTTATATGTCCATAATTTCTATTTAGTATAACATCAGATTCCTATGTTCCTACACAGAAGTGTTTACAAGTCACTTTAACTAACTGCCTCTTTAAATTGAAAATTGATCTTTATTCCAATCTTTGAATCCCTATGTAGTTATTACAACCAGAACTATGATAACTGCAAAGAAAATCTATTCATTATTTCCTCTGTTACTAAGAATAAACTTTTGATCACTGCCCTATGGGTGCATGCACCTACATAATGTCATACTTTGTAGCTTGCTGAGGCAATTGTAATGTGGAACACACTGAAGAAGCTGCCTCACAAGGCTTCTACCTTGTTACTTTTTCATAAAGTAAATTGAGTTTGTCTGACATTATTTGCTATCCATAAAACTACTACCTTAGGCTTTTTTTAGACATTTGCAATTTTATCAGGCCATAATTAATTCTAATAACCTTCCCATCAAGAAACACAGTTACATGAAATAGCATTTCCACTGCTATTTCTGTTCAATTCTGCAATTTTCTTTCAAATTTTGGGGGTATTATTTTGCCCTCCTAATACTTTCAGGGAGTTATCTTGCCTTCTTTGGCATATCTCCAGGAGTAATAGCTCAATACTTGCATTTGTCAAATGCATAAGTAACAAAATGGTATATGCCAAATTTGCCTGGGTTTAAAACCAAAGAAACCTAATTTAAATAGCACCTTTATTATTTTATTTTCAATTTAAAATAACTTTTTAATTTAATAATTAATGCATGTTAACTTAATTTAATAATTAATGCATGTTCTTTGTGTCTAACTTATGAACATTTAGACAATATAGGTATTCATAAAAATTTAAAAGTGTCCATAGTATTATCATTCTCCAATAACTAGACAGTGTCGTATAGTGGCACTGAATCCTTTTTCCATACTTGATTATATATTGTCTATTTAAATTTACCTGTTGTATAGTTGGGAAAATACACTCAATATATTAGAGCCCACTTATCTTTAGTTGAAAAAAATGTTAGACTACAGAGAGTTTAGTGTTTTCTGATCTTTCAGTTTATTAATGTATATATTCATCCAAAACTTTATTTTAGCCTTCATTGACTGTATTTGATGTGGTTATCATCAAAGTACTAAGATTATGTGAGGATTACAAGAGCCAAGTTAGATCATGTCTGCATCCACTTGCACCACTTAACTCATTGGTTTAAGTCAAACGGAGGTTACAGTAAGAAGGTAGAGCTATTTTGTATAAAATGTTTAGTTTTGCTCTTGCCTCACCACTCCCTCATTTTCTTTGTGAATATTATTTTCTAAATTATGCTTTCTCTTGGTTTTCTTTTTAAAGATTTTTAGTTGCCTATTTAATTCCTTTTATTTTTACATTTTTTACTGGTAAAAATACTTAATGTTATGAGTTTTCCTTTAAAAAACTTTTTTATCTGTGCCTGTAGATTCTGACTAGTTGTCTTTTCATTGAAATTTATTTGTAGAATTTCTGATATTTTATTTTCTTAATCCCAAAATATTGTTTAGGAACATTTAAATAAATGTCTGGGTGTTAGAACCTGCCATTTTATTTTTATATTAATTTCTTTTTAATATTGAGTCTTCTTTATTATTTCTATATTTTGGAATTCAAAGGAAGATTTCTTAGTAACTAAATTTTTTGGACATTGCTTATCAATATTTCATTAAAGAGATGTGTATTTTCTGTTGTTTCATTAAGAGTTAGATATAAATCAATGAAATTTTATTCCCTTGCTGGATACACCTTGGAATGCAAGAGGTACATCAGGTATTTCAGTTTCCCTGAAAATCCATGTAAAACTTATTTTCCATATCCAAGCTGTCTTTCTAAAACACAGATCTGAGCATTCCACATATCTCTCTTCTGTTGGAATATGGTATATGAACTGTGTTTATTCCCTGGCTGTACTAAGCATTCAAATCTTTGTCGAATGTATAAGTGTCACTACCCTGTCATGTACCTGCTTCTCACTGTCTGAAGGTTAACCTCTAATTTTTCTCTGGTCACTAAAAATGGATCAACCATTCTAATCTTGTTTCTCCCCACTTTCTAGACTTCTTTCTTGCCACCTTGAAACAGGCACGCTGTATTCTATCCTCATATACAGTCTAAGCAAACGGTACTCTCAGAGTCCTTAGGCTTTTGCTGATAATCTTCCCTTCTTCCTCTGACAAGTAGGATATTACTCCATCATTAAGGCAGGCCCAAGTTTAATACTCATATTGCATTATTGCCTCATCTCAGGTCTCCCTTAGCACTTTGTACTCTAAATGCTGCACTTTTATCACTTTTTAATGTGCTATTTGAAAGTGTTTTCCTTATTACACTGTGACTTCCTTGAAGCCAAAGACCATATCACATCTATTATTTTTCACTCCCAGCACTCATTATAATAGATAACTTAAAATTTAAACTGAGTCACGTCACTCATCAGCCTGTCCCTCTGAATAAATCTTTCTAGAAGAATATCCCTTGGTTTTTAATATAAAAATTTTATTAAACATATGCAGCTCTCAATACAGTGATTTTTAGACTGTTATTTACACAAGAAAACTTACATTTATTTCCATAAAATATGGCACTAAACTTTAAAATTCATATTTATTTCCACAAAATGCAATACATTTTTATAACCTG